CCCGGGGGGAACAAAACCCCAAAAAAAAACCAAAAGGATTTTTTTTTTTTTTTTTTTTTTTTTTAGTGCAGGGCTATGACAACATCTTGAGAAGTCACTGAATCCCTTAACACAGGGGTGTCAAACTCCAGTCCTCAAGGGCCGCTGTCCTGCAGTGTTTAGATGTGCCACAGATAAAAAACAGTGGAATGAAATGGCTTAATTACCTCCTCCCTGTGTAGATCGGTTCTCCTGCTAATGACCTAATTATTCTTTTCAGGTGTGGTGCAGCAGAGGCACATCTAAAAGTTGCAGGACAGTGGCCCTTGAGGACTGGAGTTTGACACCCCTGCAACAGACCCATGAGATGCTAACCACTGTGACTCCAACAGGCAGCAATGTGCCAAACTCGGTGACTGAGGACTAGACAGAGTAAAACCTATTAAAAATGCTGCGTGAAGATATTCTAATCAAGTGTGCATGATGTGTCAGCCCATCAGTTTGCAAGATATCATTATATTAAGATTTTATGTATTTGTATTAAACATTTCTGAAGATTTTTGGGTATAAGTTTTTATTGTTTATCATTAACCCTTGAATGTCTCGGTATTGGTAGTAAAAAAAAAGAAAAAAAAGAAAGAAAAAAACTTAAATGTTTTCGGCACCATTGGTCTTTTATTGACAGTTGCCAGACAGGACACGGGGAGAGTCCCAGTATTGATAATATTGATATCAAGTATCCATATCTAGAAATGTGCTCAAAAGACACAGGCTGGCAGGGGTGTGGTAATTTTTTCATGATGTTTTTCCAGCATTTTACCACCATCCCCAATAGATCCCGAAAGTAATCCTTGTTTATTAAGAATGAGTTAGATGTTGAGCTTTCAGTGACTCACTCAATGTCCAGGGTCATGAACGGGTTAGCTTGCTCTTGGTCCGTCTGACTGTTGTAAAACAGGATTTTCTTACTGCTTACGACGACATACTGCGAAAGAAAAGAAAACGAGGATCAAATACTGCTGAAAAGTAAGAAAACACAACCCTTAAATGGAAGAAACACTGTTGGACTGATTACTTTTTTGTCCCAGCCAAATCGCTTTGTGTTCTTGGAAGGAAGGGAGATCCAGCCCTCCAGCCTGGAATCTAAAGAGCAGAAAAAAAAACAAAAAACAAAAAAAAACAGGAAGATGCTGGCATTAAAAGGACAGCCTTCAATCGTTTGAGTCACTTAAAAGACCACCTTGATATTTTTAAGTGTTTGTGGCATTTTCTTCCAGAAAGGCACTCATCATTCTGGGAGGAAATGATTCAATGCTAAAACAAAGGATCTAGAGACAGGAAATCCTGCTTCCATGCTGTCACGGAGCGCAACAGCTTGATTAGTAAGGGCGTTAATATTTACAAGAAAATGTACACGCAAAGCAAGGACGGGATTTTGGTAGAGAAAGAAGAATTAATCCTGATCCTGGAAAAAAAATCTCAACATTAATTCAAGTCCGTCTCAATTTCAGGACGGCTCAGCCGTGCCATGCTGTGAGTTTTAATGTGTTCCGCAAACATTAAAAGTCAAACGAGGGAGCGGATTAGCTGCATGAAAGTAGTGACAATCCTGAGGACAAAAATCGCTAAAAACAATTTTAGCAAAAAAAA